TGTTAACCACATTAACCTTGGGAAGAAGCCCTTGCATTAAAGACAAAGGAGGCTGTTATCACATCCCTGACTCTCATTCATTTGCATTTAGGGAGGTTTGAGGCAGACTGACATCTCCCACTTGGCTGGTTGGGTATCTCTCTTTAGATCTAACTTTTCCTATAAATAAGTCCCAAAGTCAAGCAGGATTTAGGGGTAGAATTGGTAGGAAACTTATGTTGTCTTTGGACCCAAGCCATGCTCACCAATTTACCATTCCTATTAATATTAGTCTTTTCCCCCAGTCTGACTTCTTTATGTTTCAGGCAGTCAAGGACCTGTAGACACAGAGGGCTGAGAACAATTCAACTATTAGAATATATTTTTTGTTTGGTTTCTATCTCTTCATCTATGCTATAAACAGTGATGAGCAGTAATGGAATCTTTCTCAACCAAGTCACCTCAGAACCTAACAAACTAGGTGCCTAGTCTGTGATCATAGATTGTTTGCAGATAAAGCGATTCCCATGGAACGTTTACCCTGACTAACTTCAGAATAGAGTTTGATTTTAAAGATCAATCCCCAGAACTTGCTTTTGAACTTGTAATTTGATTTCTAACATAGGATTTTCAGTTCCTGTCTTCTCAAGTTTAGCACAAACATTCTATAAAGTAGTAATGTTTTCTTTCTCACTTGCCATTTTTACTTTCTGGGCTGGGTGGTGAGGCCCTTCCTGTTCCTGCCTAAAATAGAACTTTCCAAATGAGTCTATCATGAATGTGACTTGGCTTCCTGCCAAGTCCTGGCAGGGGACATGTGGGTTCATAAAGGCTACGCTTCACAAACCATCTGAGTGATCTTGTGAAAAATGCAGATTCTTATTTAGTAGGTGAAGACTGAAATTCTACATTTTTAACAGTTCCCAGAGGATGTCCATGCTACCAACTTGAAGACCATCCTTTGAGTAGCAAGGAATTAGACGACTCACTTCACAAACAATATCATCCATTCCTTAAACACTATTTAATTCTACTGTGTGCCAAACACTGGGATAAGAAACTAAAAAGAAATGTAACCTAATCTCACCCATAAGAAGCCCAGAGTCTAATATGGCAACAAATTTAACAAATAAATGTTCTGGGGTGCCTGGGTGGCTCAGTTGTTGAGTGTTGGACCCTTTATTTCAGCTCAGGTCATGATCTGGTCATGACTCAGGTCAGGGGATCCACCCCCAAGTTGGGCTGTGTGTTGAGTATAGAGCCTGTTTAAGATTCTCTCTCTTACCCCCTGTCCCTCTCCCTTACTTGCTATGTCTCTTTAAGTTAAAACATATTTTAAAAAAGCAAATAAATGATATGACCATTAATAGAATGAGAAGACAATCCACAACCTGGGAGAAAACAGTTGCAAAAGCTGTATTTCTTAAAACATTGTTCTCCAAACTATGCAAATAACTCTTAAAACTCAACAATAAGCAGACAAGCAACCCAATTTAAAACATGTGTAAAAGATTTGAATAGATACCTTGCCAAGAAGATACACGGATAGCAAATAAGACTATAAAAAGATGATCAACATCATATGTTGTTAATAGGAAATTGCAAATTAGGACAAAGAGATATTATGACACACCTATTAAAATGGATAAAATCCAGAACAGTGATAACACCAGATGCCAGTGACGATGTCGAGCAACAGGAACTCTCCTTCATTGCTAGTGGGAATGCAGAATGGTACAGCCACTTTGGAAGGCATTTTGACAGTTTCTTACAAAACTAAACACACTCTTACCATCCTGAAATCATACGGTATTTGCTCAAATGAGTTAAAAACTGATGTCTATCTATGCAAAAACCTGCATAGGAATGACTGTAGCAGCTTTATTCATAATTGTCAACTTTTGGAAACAACCAAAATGTAAGTGATTGGATAAATAAACTGTGCTACCTCCAAACAACAGAATATTATTCAGTGCTAAAAAAAACAAATGAGCTATCAATGGGGCGCCCGGGTGGCTCAGTCGGTTAAGCAACTGATTTCAGCTCAGGTCATGATCTCATCATTCCTCAGACTGAGCCCAGCATCTGGCTCTACTGTCAGTGTAGAGCCCACTTGGGATTCTCTCTCTCCCTCTCTCTCTGCCCCTCTCCCACTTGTGCGATCTCTCTCTCTCTCAAAATAAATAAACATTAAAAAATAAAAAATAGAAATAAATGTGGTATCAATACACAAATAGACATGGAAGAATCTTAAGTGCATATTATTAAGTGAAAGAAGTCAATGATTACATATGGTTCCAACTGTATGACATTCTGGAAAGAGCAAAACTGTGGAGATAGTAAAAGGATCAGTGGTTGTCAGGAGATTGGGGGAGGGAAGGATAAATAGATAGGGCACAGAAGATTTTTAGGGAAGTGAGACTATTATGTACATTACTATAATAAAGGATACATGTCACCATACATTTGTAAAAACCAATAGAGTTAAAACACCAAGAATGAATCCTAATGTAAACAATGGACTTTGGTTGATAATGATGTGTCAATGTTTGTTCACTGATTGTAACAGGTGTACCATGTACCACTCTGGTGCAAGATGTTGATGATGAAGGAGGCTGTGCATGCACAGGGGCAGGGAATACATGGGAATTCCCTGTACTTTCCACTCAACTTTACTGAACCTAAAGTAAATTGAGAGACAGAGAGAAGAGGAGGGAAAGAAGAGAAGAGGAGGGGAGGGGAGAGGAGGGGCAAGGAGGGGAGAGGAGGGGAGATAATCTGGCCAGAGAATCAATTCTGGGGCCTAGAAAGTCTTCATTGGTAGGCAAAACTGATCAAATAAACCACATATACCAAACTAGCCTCTACACTGGGAAACCTGCATTAAATTATCTGGGATGCCTTTCATTGTGAAAATTGTAGAACCGTATTCTGGATCTCCTGAACTAGAACTTCTTAGTGCTAGCAGTTGGTAGTTTACAGTTTATCAAGCTTTTCAGGCTGTTTTTTGTACCATAAAGTTTGAGAATCACTTTCTACTTCATGTCCACAGATGTTTTTAGTACAAAAGCCAATACCAAATTGATTCTAAATAAATTTTAATAACTTTACTTTCGTATAGGTAACGATCAAGAAGCTTAAAATTCATGAAAAATCTGTTTTCACTCTTATGTGGATCCTGAGAAACTTAACAGAAACCCATGGGGGAGGGGAAGGGGAAAAAAAAAAAAAAAAGAGGTTAGAGTGGGAGAGAGCCAAAGCATAAGAGACTCTTAAAAACAGAACAAACTGAGGGTTGATGGGGGGTGGAAGGGAGGGGAGGGTGGGTGATGGGTATTGAAGAGAGCACCTTTTGGGATGAGCACTGGGTGTTGTATGGAAACCAATTTGACAATAAATTTCATATATTGAAAAAAAATAAAAAGAAAAGAAAATCTGCATAAGAAATTTAAAAAAAAGAAATAAGATGTTTGTATCTATTAATAATAAATACTCCTGAATTGTCAAAAAAATTCATGAAAAATCATTAAATTATATACATATTCTTTTTCTCATATTTCCTTAATTAAATACACCATGTAAATAATACTGAGTAGATTTGTTGGGGGAAATACATGTATAACTCTGATAGCTTTTATTAAGAAGGAATAAAAACATCAATGATTTGGAATTTTGGCAGCATGGTACAAATGTAAGAATAAATCATTTATAGAAGTGAAATCTTTACCAACATTATTTTTACTATTAGACATGCTAAGAATATCCTCAATAATACACAGACATATTTTGTTTAAATTTTTAAAAAATTATGAAGGAACTGTTCAGCATTGTGTGTTTATCTGATAAGGACAGCTAAATGTATCCTCCCCATACTTCCTGTTTCTATATTTAAGAATACCACAAACAGTTATTCTAATATATCTTTTGTACGTAATTGCCCATAAATGCAGCTTGGCTGAAAGAGCCTACCTGGAACTGATTGCTCAAAATTTCGGGTATAGCCATATCACACTGGCTAGATAACAGTGACTCACAATCTCAATCTAATGGGCAAAATCTTAATGCCAGTGTTACATGAGGAAAGCTCCACCACAAAGTCCCAGTTTTATCTTCATGGCATAAAAAATTGTATGGGGTGTCATACTCCTGTCCCCGCAACTTCATACATTACTTTCATACATTTTCTTTAATGATCCATTTGCTGTAGTATTTTAAACTTTTTAGGAAACTGAAATGGAATGTCAGTTTTGTCAGTTTGTCTTTTTTACCACTTCTGTAAGTCATCTATCCTCCCTTACACACACACACACACACACACACACACACACACATCCCGCATTCATTTGTTCAGCAGCTCACATATTTGTGCAAATGGATCCCAACCTTTGCTGTCCACTTTGTAAGAGGTCTACTGCATTCTTCAGTGGCAGCACCTGAGAAGCCTAATAGACTCATGCTGTTGAATGAAGTTGTAGGCTATTTTTGACATAATTAGACTCGAGTACTCTGGAAATTCAGAAAGTTTGAACCCATCTCTTTTTGCTCTACTCAAGTGGCTGCAACTACAAAATTTTTAATGAATTGTTATGAAGCTATACCACTTCACTCTGGATGATTTGCCCTGACTTCCCTAGAAAGGAATAAGAAGAACAGCAAGATACAGATGTGGTTAGTGAAAGTATGGTGACCTGGGCTGGCCAACTAAATATTCAAGACTTTTCTCCATTCCATTTTTTTTTTTAACATTTATTTATTTTTGAGAGACAGAGAGAGGCAGAGCATGAGCGGGGGAGGGGGAGAGAGACACACACACAGAATCCGAAGGAGGCTCCAGGCTCTGAGCTGTTTGTTAGCACAGAGCCTGACGTGGGGCCTGAACTCATGAACCGCAAGATCATGACCTGAGCTGCAGTTGGGCGCTCAACTGACTGAGCCACCCAGGCACCCCTCTCCATTCCATTAATAGTTCTTTTCATTTGCTATCAGATCAACTATGAAGCAGTTTAAGTCATTAATCTGCATTTGCTCAATGATGCTTATTTTTATGTTTATTTAAACAACCACGAGTATATTAATTCAGCAGCATTATATCACATTCATATACATTAGTCCATGTGACCTAACCACGGAGTCACAACTTTGTTTATAAATGCACCACACATTAATTGCTCCATTACTACCTATATTTGCTCAACAGTGTAAAACCATTTGCGTGTCAGGTATGGGGAGCATCTGCTCTACGGTAGTCGGTGTAGCCCACATCTTTACTGAACCATTTATGCTTTCCATTCTTTTCTTATATCAAGTCTAAAGTTACTTCTTTACATTAAAAAAAAAACAGTATTAGAGGGACAGAGGAATATTTCTCATCATAGAAGAATGACCAGAAATAAACATATTATCATGACTGTGTTGATGGTTAGTTAGTCAAATTGGGACATCCTTTCTTTGTCAAGAGAGTGTAGTGAACTGATCCAGATAACACAAACCTCTCTTACTTACATGTGTCTCTTATCCTCCAAAAAATATATTAGCTTTGTACATTGGGTAAAATGTAGCTACGTTTAAATATTCTGCCACTCTGCTACTCATACTATCACTTAGTCTTGGAGGGAAAGGTTTTTGTGTTGTTGTTCAAGGGGGTCATATAAAAAGTTCCCTCAGAATTTGGGGGGAGAAATTTTAGTCATTTGTCCTATGAACCCTTAAGACCCGAGCACCAACATGAACCTCCTTAAAGTGAAGCTTCTCAGGTCAAGGAATGTTATTTAACCTTTTGTTGGGCTTGGTAATGGTGTTGACATGCATATCTTTCAGTGATCACCAGTTGGAGATCAAGATCGAATTTAACTCCTCACACATATGGCCGCATATTCTGTAGGTGTTTCTTTCACATTCCTTGATTGTCTTGGGTTTATTCCAATGACAGAATGGTTCAAAGAAGCGTAAACAATGCCCTGCTTGTTTTCCTCCAGACATGGGTTAGAATAAATTTCAGACTCTTCCTGGACCCTGAACCAGGGGTCATTATCATAAGTACCAGTTTCTGATAGCAGTGTTTGGGGATTTTGCCCGGTTCCCACTTCAGTTTCCTCACTCCGAAAGGGCTGGGGAATATCAACCTATAAGAGAAAAAAGATTGTTTTAACTACCATTTAAGGATGTGGTAGTGCATACAATTAGAAAACTATTAGTATATGCTAAATGGAGTCAACACATCACCAGAAATAATTTATTCTTCCTCACATTTGCTGCTGACATCCACATTTTTAGCATATTCTTATTTGTTAAAAGATGAAAGTCTTAGGAACACTATGTTCCTCCCAAGTACTTATTTTGTGCTTTGTTATTGTTCACTTTTGAGGTCACAGAACACTTTTCTTTAAGTTTTATTTATTTATTTAGAGAGAGACAGAGCATGAGCTGGGGACGGGTAGAGAGAGGGAGAGAGAACCCCAAGCAGGCTTAGCACTGTCAGCACAGAGCCCAAAATGGTGCTCCATCCCACGAACCATGAGATCATGACCTGAGCCAAAATCAAGAGCTACATGTTTAACCAAATGAGCCACCCAAGTGCCCCAACAGAATACTTTTCAATCTCTCAGCCCAAATTAATAAGAAAAGCATAAATATACCACAAGAAACTTCAGACAGCTTATAAGATAATGGATAGCATTAACACAGCTTAGAAGTAAATGATTAAAAATAAAATAGAACAGATGCCCTCTAAGGGGTCAGAAAGAATAAATATGATGAGTTATCCAAGATACATTATTATGATTTAAAACCTGGAATTAGAAATTGCTTTCAATTTTGGAAAAGGAGGGCCTAACTGCAGGAAAAATTTTACAATATTTGGATTATCACAAGAAAATTATTATACTTCCAAATAATTCAAATATCTTAAAGCTTCTGAGAAAGAGGTGAACTTAAAAAAAAAAAAAAGAGAGGGACACCTGGGTGGCTCAATCGGTTAAGCATCCAACTTGGGCTCATGATCTCACTGTTTGTGAGTTCGAGCCCCACATCAGGCTTTCTGCTGTCAGCATAGAGCCTGCTTCGGATCCTCTGTTCCCCGTCTCTCTGCCCCTCCCCTACTCGTGCTTTCTCTCTCTCAAAAATAAATAAATATTTTTAAAAATTAAGAAAAAAAAAGGGGAAAAGAGGTGAACTTACAAAAACTAAAATAAAATGTGTCCTGATGCTTCTCACTCTTTTCAGTTATTTGTTACCCACTCCTAACTATTCAAGGACATTACCAGGTAAAAATGAAGATATTATTTTAACTCTAAGAGTTGTTAATTCAATTTTTAATCACAATTTTGCCAGTCAATTTACATACATGAAGTTTGGTCTAACTCCGTGAAGGTATCAGATCCACAGTCTTTGACAGTCTACATGCCTGTCTGGTCCTTTATCGTCCTTATTTTGTATGTGAAGTAACCCATATCCTACCCCTTCCTGGCAGAATTCTACCACACGTGCACATCTGGCCCTATCCCGAGAAACTAAGCATTAGATGCTGAGTACACCGCTACCCTTCAATGAGGTGGCTGCCCAGGAAATAGCTCTAAGGCAGGTTGATTGAATGAGGCAGGAATAGCTTTACCCCCCTCAGTCTCTTAGCTCAGCTGAAAAGTGTCCCAACCCCCATTCGAAGGAACCTGGGTAATTTCTCCAAAGAAGCTTTGAAGAAGAAAACTGTCATGTGACCTAATAAATAGCCATAAGTCCTCAATATAGCAACAAGATCCCTGTTGTACTTTTACAATTGTATAAAAGTCTGTCAACTCAGTTACCTGGCTCCCTTCCCAAAAGATGGCTGGTTTCTGTGGAAAACTTGGTTAGAATGAATGATGTAAAAGAAAACACGGTGTCCTGTGGCTGAGCCTACCCTGTAGGACCTCAGGAAAGTGGGTGGAGGCCATAAGGCCCTATCTGTGGATAGAGATGACAAACGCCAAAGCCACTATCCTACTCTATATTTGTAATGCCATTTTACAGTTTACAAAGCACTTGAAAAAAATACACAGTTCCGGGTTTTCAGTATTTTAACTATTTTTATATACTCCAGGGACCATTGTGGAATAAGATGAGAATTTCGGCTTTTATATGTACCTGCCATAATTTTACCAGTTCCTTTCTCTCCGTTGGATTTCTATTCCACTGATTTCAATACAAGTCCCTTCCTAAGAAATCTTTAATCTCAAAGATCTAATATGGCATTACTATATTTTCTGAAATGTTGGCCAACTCAAATGGGCCAAAGCTGTGAGTTCCTGCAAAAGACACAGGCATCTTAAAACAAAATTCCTAAATAATTGCACACATAGAGAAGCCCGTTCAATTCAACTTCAGATCATAAATAATTTGTTCAGCCTACACAGGAAGACATATGACTACATTTTAACCAAGCTGGGCTTTATCTAAACAAGAAACTATTTAGATTATTGTTTTAGATAGTTTCATAGATCTCAGTCCTGATTGTAACAGAATGTAGTTCGTTGTTGTTCACTATAGGAAGAAAGAAAATAACATTTAAGAAAATTTTCCTACTTGAAAAAACAAAACTTCAGCACACAACACAATGATGCCTACTGCTGCTTACTAAAAACTTAATACGAGTTTACAAAGTTGAATGTATTTGGTTTGATTTAAAATTGGGCAACCTGGTGAGGAATGCTGAGTGTCATTTAATATTATACATAAAATTATTGGCTGTATCTGCCTTTGGTATTTCTGGAACTTTTGAGAAGGTTACTACAACTTTATCTCTACCCTTCCACAGTGAAACATGCACACACACACACACACACACACACACACACACACACACTACACACACACACACAGACACGTTCCTTTGCAGTACCTCATTTACGATTATTTGTTTTTAACTGAAGACCCTCATAAAAAATTTTTCAGAAATGTATTGCCTCATCTTCCATTTTTTTTGAGTTCCAATATTTACACAACATTGAGCCCCAAATAAAAAGCCTATGTTTAGATTCCAAGAACTTGTAGGGAAACGACACTGCTTCCAAAATGCCCTTGGCTTTGTCTGAGAGGTCTCTTCCTTGATGAGCCCACACCCATTATGAGAGTTTTTGCATAATAACTAGACTTAGGGTCATGTTTCTTTAGCTGCTGGGAGTCTGTGAAGAAATCACATGTCGGGGCGCCTGGGTGGCGCAGTCGGTTGAGCGTCCGACTTCAGCCAGGTCACGATCTCGCGGTCCGTGAGTTCGAGCCCCGCGTCAGGCTCTGGGCTGATGGCTCAGAGCCTGGAGCCTGTTTCCGATTCTGTGTCTCCCTCTCTCTCTGCCCCTCCCCCGTTCATGCTCTGTCTCTCTCTGTCCCAAAAATAAATAAAAACGTTGGAAAAAAAAATTTAAAAAAAGAAATCACATGTCATTTACGAGATTATTTATGGTTCATTCTTTCATTAACTCTCAATTCTCTACCAAAAGACTTTAAGGTGTTTTTGTGAGAATATTTAAATAGCCTGAAGTCACATAACAGGCCAACAGCAAGCCAAGGCTGTACAAGCTACTCTCTGACTTTTCTGCTTCAGGTCTACCCTGCCACTAATGCCCTTCCAAAAGGCCACTTATTGTGAGACTTGTGAATTCTGAAGAATCTTTGCTGCAGATGGAGATTAATGTAAAATAAACACATCCTGGGTGGCTCAGTCGGTTAAGTGTCCGACTTCGGCGCAAGTCATGATCTCACAGTTTGTTGAGTTCGAGCCCCGTGTAGGGCTCTGTGCTGACAGCTCAGAGCCTGGAACCTGCTTCGGATTCTGTGTCTCCCTCTCTCTCTGCCCCTCCTCTGCTCTCTCTCTCTCCAATAAATAAACATTAAAAAAATAAACACATTTTTAGAAGTAAGTCTATATATAGCATTTAGAACAGTTCCTGGGACAGGGTAAATGTTACATAGACTTATTAAATTTAAAATATTATATCAAGATTAAGATGGTATAACATAGATTGCATTTGTTTTAACAGATGCATGGAACATACCAGGTTAATTTCCCTTCCTGCTGTGTCAGAAGGCTCCTTTTTTTCTGCTGGAATTCAAAAAGACAAATAAGAAACCAAGAAGAGTAAAGAACGACACCAAATTCTTTCCCAATTCCCTGTAAGTTAAGGTTGTGGTAAGAATATGTGTTTTGGAATCAGATTGCTAGGTTGAAATTCTGGGGCAGAGGTGGGATGCCTCCCAGGCCAGTGGCAGCGTTGCTATTTGTTTTGATGTGTTTATTTGCTGGAACCAACAAGGCACATACACTTCGGTTTGTGTACATTCACTGGCTCTTCCCTTCTGACTCCGGAGAGTCCTATGGCATATCCAAGAGGAAGGGGCAGGATGTACTGTATCACTTTAAACAGGCTGGAAATCCTGTTCTGGGGACATTCTATACCTGATGCCAGACACACTGCTGTCCCCTCACCCACAAAGGCCAGGATCTCCTATGGCCCAGTTCACTTCAGATATAGTAGATCAAAGCATTTATTCCTGCCTCTTTTTCTAAAGTTTTCTAAAGCAGCCTCAAGAAAGATGGTGAAAGCTAGGGAGGGACTATCGAAAGAGACTTGGAGTTGCACATGTGAAGTGGGGGTTACAGAGGATTCCTTCAGTATTCTGAGAATGTTCTGGGCTCCGGAAGTCCTTACCACAAAACACCGAAAGTACTTTTGCCCAGACAAAGCTTTCTCTTGTGGCAGAGAAAAGGGTTGCTCTGTCTAGCTCTGTTTCTGTAGCTACCCTGAGGCTGCCCATGTGGGAGCTGAGATGGGAGGAGATGGCAGAGTGGGAAAAGTAAAGAGAGAGAGAACAGGGATGTTTTGGAAGAGAGCTGCATCAGAATTTTCTACACACCTCTTTCTTACTATGTTTAAGTGTTTGCTCCCGACACCAAAGGAATTCTTAAACAAGCAGAAGGGGATTGTTTCCAAGATTTCACACCTCTCTTGTCCTAGCCAAACCCACATTTTTTCAAATGCATTACTTTTGGGTGAGAGTTCAGTTCAGGCCTGTGTTTGTGGTGGCAAAAGAAAGTACAGACAGGAATTTCCTTCTGGGAAATACAGTCTTCATTTAGGCAAGGGCGTGTATGAGTGGTATGATGTGGTGTGGCTCTGAAAAAGAGGATGAGACAAACTAACTCAAAGCAGACTTGTTGGCCTGAGAGATTGTGTCAACCTACCTTTCACTACCCTTAAAGTTTAGAAGAGCTGCTTGTCACATAAACTTAAGACAGACACAAGTGGAATGGGTCAGTCCCAGCCACATGCCCTCTTTAGCACAGGCCCTGCCTGGAGCACTGTGCTGTGGAGAACATGCCTCTCTATGACTGGAGGGGACCTGAATTAATCCATTTGTCTTTTTGGTGGAAGGATGTTGTCCCTGAGGAAATCATTATCCATGGCTCCTTGCAGAATATGGGAAAGAAAACAAGAACCAACTAAAAATCAAACAGCCCTAGTAACTGACCCCCAAATGTGTAGCATATAAGCAGCAGATGGAAGGTAGAACCCACCTTGGTGCCTTCTAAGGCAGAAGAACAGGCACAAACAGGTAATGAGCAGAGGCAATGCCCCCAAAGGAAGCAAACTATAAAGCATCCATCGTTTGTCCGCCGTCACTTCCTGAGAGGGTGGTCCTGAGGCACCAGTTGTATCTGAAATGTGAGTCAATGCTGAAGACAGTTAGGAAATTTCAGATATAATAGGATCGGTAATACCTCCTGCATCATCAGAACTTGAATGAAGGAGATTTCCAGCTGATGCCTCTATTTCCCTTCCGGGATGCATTCCCACAGAACCCCTGGCCTCAGTATTCTCACCTCTTGCTTTATTGATGAGCATATGTGGGTGGCTCTGGGTTAAAATTCATCTTTTGTAAGAATTTTTAATTCTGCTAGGATTGATCCCCTCTAAAAGAATACCCATAACAGCTCTCAGAAAGCACTTCACCAAGCCCTTTCATTGACATTGTCTTACTTAACTCTCATATTCACCACTAAAGAAAAGTAAGGAAACTGTTATTTTTATCTAGTTCTGTGCCTTGATAAAAGGGTTATTGTTCCAAGACTCTTACCCAAGGTCAGATAGCTAGTGAGTTGTAGTTGGGACCCAAGCCAACATGTTTTTGATACTAAATTCCAGCTTCTTTAACACAAAGGTCTTTTTGTTGTCTCGTAACTCTTTGGTATCTCCATATACTATATAATTTTGTTATCTACAGATAGCCTTGTTATCTCCAAATATGCTCTGCTGGGCATACAGCTTATACTCATTGCTATGATCAATGTTAACATGCGTTAATGTTCTGTTTGTCCATGATAGGTTGCAACTAATCGACCGATCGTGAAACAATTTAATAGATCACAAAAAACATTAAAAATAAGAATCACAACAGGATAGAAAAAAATCAGAATGCATCACACAGCATTAATTTTGTATATATGTTAAGTATTTTATGCAGCAAATTTTTATTTCTAAATATATTAACATAGTTATCTACCTTCTTCCTCATATGCTTGGTTCAAGGTAAAGGTGGTCAGGAGCTACTGAAGCTGGGCAAATAGTGCTTAGATAACAACAGAGTGGTAACAAAGTCTTCATTATCCATGCTGCAGCTGCTGCTTAGGTTAGGACAGCAGCCAAGTCATTACCAACAACAGACACAGCTGTCTGGGGGGAGGGTGTGAATAGAAATAGGGACAAGGGTTCCCACATAGAAAACCTAATACAAAAAAAAATTCACTCCATTAGGAAAATCCAACTTTTATCCTTTCTTCAACCATGAAACAATCTTATTTCCTTATTTTTATTTGACTAGTTTGATACTTACTTATTAGAGGGTATTCTGAATTATTTTGAGTCTGTTCTGAAATAGAAAAGCAAGATAAAGAATTGAAACTGGTTGCAAAAACAATACTTATGTGTGTCTAGAGTCAGAGTTAGTCTGAGAGGACTCCTGCATTTGCACACTAACCGAACCCAGTAACCCAGCTCAAAGGAGTTTGCATGATGTGCAAATCACCACCTCAAAGATCACGGACACAAAGTTAAGTCCCTAGATTTATTTTGAGGCTTGAAAAATTACCCTAAATACAACACAAACGTCATCTGTCTGCGTTGATTCCCTTTTCCCTATTACTTAAGTATAAGGACAGAATACAGCCTGTATGACACCTTCCGGCACTTGGAAAAACAGGATGCTCATTCAGCAGGTGCTCCAAGTGAGTGTGGAGGGCCACAAGGAAAGGATGCTTTGGAGGCCATGCTGACTACTCACTCTGAAACAGAGATTGTGCCTTTCACTTCCTGCCTACTCATACCACTCTCACTTTTCTGCTAAGAGAATGACCACTTGACTTTGTGAAGTTCCTAATCACAGACTGACCAAAGGAGGTTGGGGAGGATGTACAGGCCCATGTGCATTCCAGGGATTGTTCCCCAGATCTGTCACCTTTTCTTCTGGGGCTTTGCAAAGCACTTTTCCTCATTCTGGGAGAATACTGCTTTCCCAGCAGCGTCCAAGCCCTGACTCTGCCACAGCCCTGTTCTTACATGGACCAATTCTTAACTTGGACAAAGAAAGAGAGTCAGATGCAAAACAGGAAAATTCCCAAGAGCGCCAAAGAAAGATATTTGAAGGGGAGAAATATTTTTTGTGTCACACCTCCACATCATTTTTATGCAAAGCATTGTTTTTAAATATAATTTTATAGTATATTTTTCTCCTTCGGTACTCAGCTCACTGAGTACTCCCACATACAGAAGGAAAAGGAATTTTTCTTGAACTCTTTCCCTATTATGTTTGCTTTCATCACTTCATAAAAGGCAAATTCACACCCATTTCAAAGCCAATTCTGAAATAATTCATCTGACTTTTGTGAAGGAAGCAAGGATGACCCAGAAAAATATGACACAGTTCCTGCTTTCCAGACATTATAATTCTTCATGGGATAAAGAACATTTCCATACATTACTACAGTGCAAGGAAATGTCTGATAAATGAGAGGCACAGTCCTTAAATGGCATAAAATTTGCTAGAAAAGAGAAATCACTTCCCCTAGGGTGAACATGGAAAGCTTCCTTAAGAATGTGGGAAATGGGCTGGGCTTGGCAGGAAGGCCAGAATTGTGGTAAGTGGAGGCAGATGAGTGGTTGCCCTATGAGTGGAGAGAGCAGCATAGGGTGAAGACATGCGATGGCAGGTAAGGCTGTGGGGCTGGAGTAGAGGTTCATGGTGGAGTCCAGAAGCAATCAAGGAAGGTAGGTGTGGGTGGACTGTGGAAGGCCTTGAATGTTGGTTAAATGGGAGCTCAACATGGGAAGCACCACAGATGCTCTGCGGGGACTCAGGAAAGGAGCGGCATTATGGAAGACATTTATTAGGCAAGTGAAGTGTATTAGGCAGATGTTTGGCTGAAATGGACTAAAACAGGAAACACTAAAGACAAAAAGTCCATACGCCTGATTGGAAGATTTGGAAGGAAGATAATGAAAGTTTGAGATGCTCATGAAGCTACAGGAAGGAAGCAATTCCAGAGTGAAGGTTGCTGCCAGACAAGAGTAGACGGCCAAAGCAAAGTCCTGGGGACCTCCCCTTAGGGCAGGAGCACTGATTCAAAAGTGATAAGAAAGTCAGGAGAGTACAAATTAGAATAGGAATCTCCAAAGGGAAATTTAAAAAGCCCTTCCTGTCTTCTAGGTAGCTTTTCCTTCTCACATCTCCATCTTTCTTGCTCATCCCCAGCGTGATCCTAATAAGCACATCACCCCCCGCCACCCCCACCCACGCCCCCCCACCCCCGCCCCACAGGCACAGGGTTCAAGAGAGAAGCTGCCTCTCTTCCCTTTGGCCCCTTCCTCCCCAAGGGAGACAGATTGTTGATCCTAATTTCAGCTCCGACTTTTTCCTAGAACAGGAACCTTTATGCACTTTACAAACTGTGCAACCATCTGTAGTGGCTGTGGAATGACCCCAAAATGGGACAGAGGAGACACAGTAATACCCCTGGGACACTGCCATGTCATAAGTCATTTTTGGGTTGCCTCTGACCTTGGCTGAATTCCTCCCTCTTGCACAGAAGGGGGTTAATTCCCACAAAAGAAGACAGAATTACACAAGACAGTCCCTCTTCCAAGGAGAGTGGACTCAATGCCACTGCATTTACTTTTATTATACATTATATTAATATACATTATATAAATAATCTAATAGCACTGAATTACTATTTCATAGTATCATTAATATCCTGGAAGTAATGTTTTGCAAGTTTTGCTTATTTTTCTCATTTTATTTTGCCAGTTAAAAAAGTACTGCTTCTTAAAAAATTCAATATTTTACCTCATTATGTGAATGTGCAATTTTCTCCAGAAAGGATTCATTCCATAATCTATAGTATAAGCTTCTCCAGGTTGTTAAAGGCAATTGTTTCACTTTGCATAGATGATGTTATTTAATTCATTTAAGAATTATAAAGAAATATTTATTGAACACCTACTATGTGCTACACACTGTGCCATCTATTTGTAGAGAAGCAAAGATGTTTAAGACACAGCTTCCATTCCAAAGAGGTTTATAAGCCAATGCACGGATAGTCACAGGCAATTAGCATTGAGTTTGATAACAAATTTGCAAAAGCAGGGTCTCCAACTCTGCCTTAAATCCCTTCTACACTTCTGTGCTTGATGATAGAGGTTGTAACCAGCGCTAGATTGTTGTGCATTCCTTTACCAGGCTGCTTTCAGAGGTCTTAAAATAACTTAAAAGATTTTTAAGGAATTTAAGTGGATTCCTTCATTGGGTTACTTTAAGGGAGTTAAAAGATGGACTCCAAAGTGTGCATATATAGTAATAAATTAATTTTTACAAACACAAAGTGTATGCATTCAAATGAATGGTGTCCATAGAGGAAGTGACTGCATACGTCTGCATTTAGATTTCAGACATTACTATTGCACCAGAACTCTTTGAGATTTCTCTTTGCAGTAATCTTCATGGTCAATTTAACATAAATATTATTATTTTAATATTTTAAAACATACAACTTAGTGTAATGTTGTACAACTCTCTAGTATTGTGCACTATCTAGTTTCAGAACATTCTCATCATCCCCAAAGGAAATTCCATATACATTAAGTAGTTACTCCCATTAACCCTTTCTGCCAGCCTCTGGCAGCCATTAGTCACTTTCTATCTCCACAGATTTTTCTGTTCTTCGTATTTCATGCAAACAGAATCAAGATTATAATATGTAATCTTTTATATCTGGCTTCTTTTACTTAGTACAATGTTTTTGAAGTTCAACTGTTTTGTAACATATCAGTACTTCATTCCTTTTTTTCCTGAATAATATTCCACTGTATGAATATAACACATTTCCTTTGTCAGTTTGACAAACATTTGGATTGTTTCGACTTTTTGACTTTTGTGAATAGTATGGCTATAAGAATTCATGTACAAGTTTTAATGTGGACATATACTTTCATTTCACTTGGATATTGCTGGGTCTTGTGGAAACTATGTTTAACCTTTTGAAGAAAGGTTGCCAGACCTTTTCCAAAGCAACTGCAACATTTTACATTCCCACCAGCACAGTACAAGGAGTTCAATTCGTCCACATCTTTGCTATCACTTGTTATTTTCCATTAAAAAAAAATTCTAGTAATCCTAGTGTGTGTGAGTGGTGTCTCATTGTGATTTTGATTTGCGTTCCTCTAATAACTAATGACATTGAGCATTTCTTCATGTGCTTATTGGCCATTTATATATTTTCTTTGAAGGAATGTCTATTCAGTCTTTTGCCCATTTTAATTGAGTTGCTTATCTGTTGTTGAGTTGTAAGACTTCTTTATATATTCTGGTTACTAGTCCCTTATCAGATATATGATTTGCAAATATTTTCTCACATTCCATATGTTGTCTTTTCATTCTCTTTATAGTGTCCTTTGATGTACAAAAGTTTTTAATTTTTATGAAGTATAATTTATTTATTTATGTATTTATGTATATATGCTTTTGATGCTGTAGCAAAATAATATTGACAAATTCAAGATCATGAAGATCTACTCCTATGTTTTCCTCTAAGGAAAAATAGTATTAAAATTTTATACAAACATAGATTCTATTGTTTTAGCTCTTATATTAAGTATCTGATCCATTTTTACTTATTTTTACATGTTGTATGAGGTAGAGGTCCAAATTCATTTTTCTGTGTATGTATATCCAATTGCCTCAGCACTATTTACTGAAGAAACTATCATTTTTCCATTGAATGGGTTTGGAAGTCTTGTTAAAAGTCAATTGGCCAAAAGAAGACATCCAAATGGCTAAGAGACCCATGAAAAGATGCTCACTATCATTCATAATCAGGGAAATACAAATAAAAATTACAATGAGATACCACCTCAGATTGGTCAGAGTGGCTAAAATTAAAAACTCAGGGAACAACAGATGTTGGTGAAGATGTGGAGAAAGGGCAACCCTCTTGCACTGTTGGGTAATGCAAACTGGTGCAGCCACTCTGGAAAACAGTGTGGAGGTTCCTCAAAAAATTAAAGATTGATTACCCTATGACCCAGAAATGGCACTACTAGGAGTTTATCCAAAGGATACAGGAGTGCTGATTCATAGGGGCACATATACCCCAATGTTTATAGCAGCACTTTCAACAATAGCCAAATTATGGAAAGAGCCTAAGTGTCCATTGACTGATGAATGGATAAAGAAGATGTGTTTTATATACACAATGGAATACTACTTGGCAATGAAAAAGAATGAAATCTTGCCATTTGCAACAACTTGGATGGAACTGGAGGGTATTATGCTAAGTAAAATAAGTCAGTCAGAGAAAGACAGATATCATGGTTTCATTCATATGTGGAAGTTGAGAAACTTAACAGAAGACCATATGGGAAGGGAAAGAAACAAAAATATATAGTTACAAACAAAGAGGAAGGCAAACCATAAGAGACTTTTAAATACAGAGAACAAAATGAGGGTAGAAAGGGGTGGGGGGCAGGGAAAATGGGTGATGGGCATTGAGGAGGGCACTTGGGATGAGCACTGGGTGTTTTATATAAGTGATGAATCACAGGAATCTACTCCCGAAGCCAAGAGTACACTGTATACACTCTATGTTAGCTAACTTGATGATAAATTATCAAAAACAAAAAAAGTCAATTGACCAAGGATGTGTGGATTTATTACGGACTCTCAATTCTATTCTATTGATCTTTATATCTATACTATGTCAGCACCACACTGTTTTGATTATTGTAGTTTTGTAGTACATTTTAAAATAAAGGAGTGTGAGTCCTCTAACTTTGCTCTTCTTTTTCAAGATTTTTTTCAGCTATTTTGTATTTGTTGCAACTTTATGTGAATTTTAGGATCAGCTTTTTCATCTATGCAAAAAAAGAAAAAAAAAACGTTTGTTGGGATTTTGATGGGAATTGGATTGAATCCATAGATCACTTTGGGAAATATTGCCACATTAACAATTTTAAGTCTTTAGTCATATTTTGTTCAGTGTACAAGTGTTAAGTCTCCCAGGTTAGATTAATTTGTAAGTATTTTATTCTTTTTTGATGCTATTATAAATAGAATTGTTTTTGTTATTAATTTCCTTCTCACATTGTTCATTGGTAACGTATAGAAATACCACTGACTTTTTTAGTTGATCATACAACCTTGTTGAATTCATCTATTCACTCTAGTAGCTTTTGTGGATTTTTAATGATTTTCTCTATATATAATCATATCATCTGTGAATAGAGATAGTTTCACTTCTTCTTGTTCAATTTGGATGCCTTTTATTTCTTTTTTCTTGTCTAAGTGCTCTGGCTGGAACTTCCAGTTCAGTGTTGAATAGAAGTGACAAAAGCAGACATTCTTGTCTTCTTCCTGTTCTTAGAGGAAAAGCTTTCAATCTTTTACCATTGAGTATGATGTGAGATTTTCGTAAATCAAACTTTTAAAAAAAATTTTTCCTCTACTTCTCTCTTTGCTTTCCATTTTTTTATTCTAGGTTTTTAACTTCAACCTGTTCTCCTGATATTTGAGCCTATTTGAGGACCTCTGGGAGGGACTGGGGAGGCAGTTAAAACTATGAACGTCCTCAAAGCACATCAGGGAGTCAGGTTTATTTGTGTGCTGTTTGCTCTCTGTGCAAACTGTGAATTATTAACAAGCTTATAATTGTCTGAGCACCACAAATGTAACTTCAAGGATTTGTTATCAACAAAAGTCAAGGACTGGTAAGTGGACAAAAAAATAGAAGGAAAAGAGGACAAAGAATAGACAGCTATCTACTACTATTGGTATTCACTTTGTAATTTTTTCCATATTTCAGTGATCTACTTTTGGATTTATCAAATAAATGCTATACCCCCTAAAGGCAAGAACAAGAACTTTTATTGTATTTTTTTCTCTATTCTTTTTTATCTCACTCACCTCAAAATTACATACACACGTGCTCACACAGATCACCATCTGAGGAGTGTGGCAACCTTCTCATTTACAGGAGTTCAGTGTCTAACATAATCCTTGAGAATCTGGGTCCTCCTTTTCCTTGAAACATGTTGAAAAAATATCAGATAGCCCTGGAGTGCAGAACTCACCTGTCACATTAATGGTTACTGAATGGCTTTCAATAACTCCAGATGTAAAATTCGCAGAACAGCGGTATGAACCAGAATCACTAGCCAGCGCGTGATTAAAATGAAGACTAAAAACTGAAATATTCTCCCCTTCTTTCCAAGTTGTGTATCCCAGAAGTTTATATGCAAGAGGTAAACAGTTTTTTCCTTTGAGCTTGCACCAGGTCACAATAGGCCTCTTAGTACAGTATTTCACAGGGCACTCCAGATTAAATGGATGCCCTGCTGACACAGTGTATGTGGAATATCTCTTTACATACAGTTGTTCATTACATGATCTTTGCCCTGAAAGATGAAAACAAAATTAAAATCAAATATGCTCCGGAAGGACCAGATATTTGCGACTCAACAGTTTCTGCCAAAGATTTCTCAAATATGATCTTACAATTTTCCCAGATAACATTCTCAGTATATTAACTCCTAGTAACAAAGTGTCTGGTACATGGTAGACACATAATAAGTATTTGTCGAAAAAAACTTTCCTCAATTGTTCAATAACTTCCTCAATTTCTTAACTATTACTGATATTTTTAGGGGTGCCTGGGTGGCTCAGTTGGTTAAGTGTCCGACTTTGGCTCAGGTCATGATCTCACGGTCCGTGAGTTCGAGCCCCGCGTTGGGTTCTATGCTGACAGCTCACAGCCTGGAGCCTGCTTCGGATTCTGTGTCTCCCTCCCTCTCTGCCCTTCCCCTGCTCGCAATCTGTCTCTCTCTCTCAAAAATAAATAAACATTAAAAAAAATTTTAACTATTACTGATATTTTTATTATTATATTTTGCACTTACCATATTCTTTTTTATTTTTTTATTTTATTAAATATAATTTATTGTCAAGTTGGCTATTATTATAAAATATTTTATTTTATTATCTGGTAGCTACTTCAATAGTAGCAAATAATAACAATTTCTGTTCAATTATTTTATTATATTCCAAGGGCTGTTCAAAACACATCAAATATCTTAACTCATTTCATCTTCACAATAAAATATATATTATTATGAAACCTATTTTACAGATAAGGAAATTGATGTGGTGAAATTTGCCTAGTGTTATACGCTAATAATTAGGGGAATCACGACTCAAACTCATACTAGAGTCCATTATTCTATAATTCATTAACCATTACTCTGTTATTGTGTCTTGAGGAGTAACCACATTTTCTATTACTAGCTCTGATATATTCTAATAAGTGGGAGAGAGGAACTTTTGATAACAACTATTTCCCTATAGTACCTGGCATTAGAAATTTTCTTTACTTGTTTCTCAAAGGCTTTAGTACTGCCTTGTAATTTTTTCCATGCCTTTTTCTATGTAGGACACATGCAGCTCAAGATAATTGTTGAAAGATAGGATGTTCTGACATAACCTGAATGTTTTGTCTTCCAAAGTGGGAGGAGGAACACAATGTACCTCTTTTGGTCTGCATACAGGAAATTGCCACCCTTTGTTTTGGTGGGAGAGTTTTTTCTTGGAAACAGGTTTTCTGTTATCTTCTACAAACCTTCTGTTAGTAATCGTCAATTGTACATAAAATATAAAGCCAAGAGAAATAATTTATTTTTATTATTTTTTAAAGTTTATTTTTTGAGAGAGATAGAGAGTGAGAGGGGAGGGGCAGAGGGAGAGAAGGAGACAGAGAATCCCAAGCAGGACTTGAATAGAGGGCTTGAATTCCCAAACCATGAGTCATGACCTGAGCAAAAAACAAGAGTTGAACGAATGTTTAACCCACTGAGCCACCCAGGCGCCCCAAGAAAAATAATTTCTTAAATTATCAACATTATTGAGCAAGTTCTACTACCTTTAACCTGTCATGAAAGCATTTACCTTGTAACCTCAATATCTAGGACGCAACTTAGAACCAAGATACATGATGAAGAAATGTTCTCTAAGCAAGCAAAATAAATATGGCAAGATCCCAAACTCCTCCCACTTGATGCATAATCCTCATAACTTCATGATCATTTCCTAATTAGCCAGAGGGAATGATTGTGTTGTATAACAGAGTAATAACTATGCTCATAATGAGAAGATTGAATCCACAGCAAAACTTTCAATTAGGTTTAATATATCCATTTTTTTGAAGCAAAGAATTCAACCCATTTTATTCAAAAGAATTTCATCAGAAATAGTCACTTCAAAAAATGTTTTGGCCTCCAAAGGGACAAATGTCAGTTACTTAGAACATATATATTCATTCTCTGATAATTGTTGGATTATATTGTCCCTCTGAAGACTCATGCACGTGAGCAAGAGAAATGGCACCAGTTTATGACAACCACTTAATATTTTTAGCATCAGTTACATGATGAGTGTATATAAATCATAGAATATTCCACTACTGAACTGACTCTCTGTGTTGGCAAATCAAAATAACTAAAATAGGCCAGACTCCTTTTAGTTAAGAACTCTGTAGAGGTCCATACCTTTCTATTTTTCCATTAGAGCTAAGGTCTTGAGAGTGTTTTTTCTTTAAGTTCCTTTTCCTACATCCTGGTAGTTTTTATCTTGAGCGTCTTTCCCTGTTTTGAACTATTCTCTCAGCAATACATACAATACATCTGCCTAATTTATTTCACTCATCTTCAAGCACCATTCTGAATAGATGTACTGTCTCACAAGTTAAAATGACATAAGCATAACCAAGATGATAGCCTAAACTCTCTTAAAAAAAATTTTTTTTACATTTATTTATTTTTGAGAGACAGAGAGAGACAGAGCACAAGTGGGGGAGGGGCAGAGAGAGAATGAGACACAGAATCTGAAGCAGGCTCCAGGCTCAGAACTGTCAGCACAGAGCCCAACGCGGGGCTTGAACTCACAAACCATGAGGTTGTGACCTGAGCCGAAGTCTAACGCTTCACTGACTGAGCCACCCAGGGGCCCCAACCTAAATTCTCTTTTAAAGACAAAGCAGGCTAAGGGCTACTCCAATGTTGAAGTGGGAGACAGCTTTTGGCCCTGCATTGCACATGCTGCTTTACTTATCTTACTGCTCCACTTTATTTCGACACCTTTGCCAGCATAAATATTCTCATTTTTAGTTATTTCCTAACCTCCAAAAAAACCTCTCACTGTAATTTCTGCTCACATCTTGTCAACCTCTGTTCAGACACTTGGTTGAGTTTCCAGGAACCAGATTGAGAGAAGGGCCCTGCAGAGAACATTTAGAAACTTGTAGTATTTATTATATATTTATAAATGTACTGACACCTCAAACAAGTTCACTTTAAGGCTTACTAATTCAGTTGCTTCCAAAAATTCAAGATCAAAATGAAAGCAAACTAAAAGCCAAGTTATGAGCATGAAGTTTTCAAAAACTTGAAGAGAAAGGGTAAGATAATCTACCAAAAGGAAGTGCCTAACAATATAACACCTGGATGTGGTTAGACTTACGACAAAAAAAGCAAAGAGGCCAGAATCTGAAAAGCCAAGTGAAACTCACATTTCCAGAACTCCATCCCCCCTAAAGTTAATAGATTATCTCAACCTCCTCACTTCCCTTTTCATGCACTTGGATAAATCAGTCATAGTGTATGGAGCCTAGGACTTGGTGCCAACATTGTGGAAAACAATAAGGTAGTTTTAGACAAAGACTCCTCCTGCCCTCAAGAAGCTTAGCATTTAATTGATGAGACAAGGTTAACTAACAATGCCACTTTCCCAGAATAAATTTACTATCTTCCATTTTTTTAATCTTCAAATTGATCTGAGTTGAAAGAAGGGCTCAGAGAGAGCTTGTGTGTCCTTTTACGTTAGTTGTTAGGGGGTAGAGAAATAAATAAGGCAAGGTGTCTTCCTTCAAGGGGCTTGCCTTCTAATGGGAAATAAAGATGTTTGACAAACGAGAGAATGAAATAACACTATAAAGAGGTGTAACTTCGCTTGTGTGTACAGAGGCTTAACTTCAGCTGGGACTATTGGGATAAGGCTTGACGGAAAGGTTACATACTTTGAGCTGAACCTTAGTGAATGAATAGCCCTTTGATAATCAGCAGTGAATGGGACAGGGGAGGTATTTTAAGACTGAGCACACGGAAGGGCAAAGGCAGAGAAGCCAGAAATCTCATGGCAAATTCAAGGAATCGAAACTCATTTCGATCATGCTTTTCTCAAATAGTGACATGGAAACCACTGGTTGTTTCAGAATAAATGCAATAGCGTTAGGAAGAACACACTAAAAGTTTGCTTATTCACCATGAGAAAATACAGAGCCTGATTCTTTTGGGATATTTATAAAAGTCATGTAAATAGCTAAAAATTGGAATATTTATTCAAACATGGTTGTTCAAATACTAACACATTGTGTGATGGTGAGATAGCCACCCAGTCTCTCTGGTCCTCAATCTCTGTAAAACAGGATGAAAATAGGAAAATTCTTACCCACCATCCTCTCCTACACAAACACATACACAACTTCATCTCCCTCAGTGTGTGACCGATGTGATAAAACCAGCTCTAAGTCTCTCTTTTTACTACAGTACGTTACCTTTCCATTTAGCCATCAGCTCTCACCCAATGCTAGTAGCACAAGTGAATATCCCTTCTAGTCCCAACCTGTGTGGTTATGTGGTTGAGGGGAGTGCACAGAGCAGGGTAGGCAAGGAGAGCCAGCTGATGGTCCCAACCACGTCACTGACTCTCCTAATGGGATTACAGAAACATCACGGTGGTTCCTGCATACTCTTATCAGCAGGGCAAGGATCAGTGACTGTCACATTGACTGGCACAGGGATTTTTCTTGAATGGAGGAATGAATAGACAAATGAAGCCTTGCCAACAGGCACTAAAAGTCATCAAGAATATTCACTTTTCGTACAAAGAAAGTATTAACACTTCCCTGAGACTCAAGCGGATGTTTGTAGCACAGCAATACTGCACAGAGCTAAATGGCACCATTGCAAGTCTCCATCGGACAGGCACGTGGACACTTTGCTGCTTGTCCTGAATTATGAATAGCTATTTCATGGCATTTAGGAAATCAAAAGCTGTACCCAAGGGGTTTGTCTTGTGAAACAATTATTTTCTAAAGAGAGGTGAAGATTGCAGTTGTTTTTGTTTGGGATGTATCAGCTAACATTAATTGTTCCTGCTGTTATTCTCAAACATTCATACTAATGCATAGGGAATTTTCAACGCTAAAAATAATTCAAATAAACATATGCAGTAAAAGAATGAAATTTCTACCATCCTCAGTGTTTCCTGTGATGAAGTATCTCTTTTTAAGTAACTGTAGGTTTAGGAAGACTTACATTTAAAAAATCCTTATGAAAACCATGACTGT